TCATCCTTACATCTGCCCTCTGTATTTCATGACTTTGAGACTCCTTGATTTTATTATAATGTGTTTTTGAATATATGTAAGTAGAGAAAATGTTCTGATTTAAGTATGACAGGCCTTATCTACTTCTAAAACAAGAAGAACTATTACTTTAGCTATATCAGTAGTAGCAATAATAATGGCAGTTTAATGCCATTTGGATGCATTCTAAGAAGCAGAGAGACACAAACCAGAGAGAAGGGCAGAATCCTGATGAAGATTAGTCCCTGAAGATTTGGCAACTCATGGACATACTTTTTTGTAAGAACCACAGTTAAAAAGCAAACTGAAAACTAAATTAGATTTAAAAAAATATCTCCAGGCATTATAACAATTGCTTTAGGTTACATAAAATATTTCCATACCTACTTTAAATCTAAGAGACAAATAATATACACTCCCATTCATTTGGGAAAGTGAAACACAGAGAGTTTAAGTAAATTTTTTAATTTCTACACCTATAAATGAAAAGAGTTGAGATGTACACACAGTACAGTGAGAATGGCTTTTAGAGTAGTTGCTAATTCTGACTTCCTAAAATTCACTAATAAAAAATGTTAGCTTTAAATTATACTTGTTCTTTATAATGCAATTTTGTGCTCCTCTGAATCCCACAAAATCACTTTAAAGTTGTAGCAAAGAGCACCAATTTTCAGATAAAGACACTGGAGCTTAAGCTTTTCTGGAAAGCAACTCCTACCCAGATCGCCTGACTCCAAGTGTAGTGTTTTTTTTTTAACTATGCCACTCCCAGCTCTGAAAAAAAAAATGTATACAAAATTTGGCACTTGGTGAAGAGGAAAATCATTCAGCTTTATTCTGCAGATTTGGGGAAGTCTTCCCAGTATGCTTGCGACCATTAAACATCTTTACCTACAATTCTCTAAGTGGTTATGGCACCAGGTAACAGTTCAGGAATGTAAATCTCTTAAGATTACACAATTTTAGGTAAATAGCTCCCAATGTACAGGGATATCTCACATTCTGAAGATGATTCCCAAATGTGCACATTAGATTATGGTGTAATTTAAGCACAATTTCCATCATATTTGTTCTGTTCAGAAATAGCAGCTTGTTCTGTATGTGGTGGCACAGGCCTGTAATCCCAGTACTTGAGAGGCTAAGGCAGGAGAATTGTTGCAAGTTCAAGACCAGCCTGGGGTACAAAGTGAGCTCAAAGTCAGCTTGAATTGCATAGTGAGACCCTGTTTAAGAAAGAAAGAATGAAAGAAAGAAAGAAAGAAAGAAAGAGAAAGGAAGAAAGAAATTAAGAAAGAAAGAAAGAAAGAAAGAAAGAAAGAAAGAAAGAAAGAAAGAAAGAAAGAAAGAAAGGGCCTGAATTTTTCTTCAACTCCTATTTCTGAGTCTCTATATTTATTAAACCTGCAGACTTTCTTGCTTCATATATATAGCATGATATTATCTTGCCTGTGAAAGTAAATCTCTTTAAATGGTGCTTAAGTTTACTATTTCAAGTCTTCACAATTTTAGTACATTTATATTAACACAAAAGCATTCGTGTAAATAAGTATCCATACACTATTGAAGTGTATTTTGGGATGCAGAAATAGATCCTAAAAAGAACTAAAAGAGGAAATTATCAACTCTGGTTCCTTCAATATTTTGAAGATTCATTAATGTAGCATATATTAAAAAGGAAAAGTAATTTTTCATATGATTCAGGATATCCATGTGAAAAACTGCTTAATCAGAATTTGATAGGAAAATCTAAAGTTCAAACTAGATACAGTTAATGGTGTAAATTTCTAAATTATCTTGCAGAAATTAGCCTTTGCCAAAAAAAACCTCTATGATATTGAATTTATATCATATTTCTTTTTCCCCTAGGTTTATGGATACAAAAGATTTCTGAGTAACAAAAGACGGGAGAGACAAACCTGGCTTAATCATCTTACTAGATAGTATTTCCCTATGATTTCAAGCAAAATAGTTAGATTGGTTAGGTATCTGTCTATTGCAGACTTCAGAAAGGAGAAAATTCCAAAAATTATGCATAAATACTCTGTTAATCATTACAATACAAACCTTTCAGAAACATCTCCAATTTTCATTCTAACAAAACATCTCTGTCTTAGTCACTTTTTACTCGTCGCTGAGACAAAATACCTGAAGCCCAAGTTGGGAAAAGAAAGATTTATTTCTTTCAGTTTTTGGAGGTTTCAGTCCATACTCAGTTGGCTCCAAGGCAGGCAGGCATGGCTCATGGTGGCTGCAAACAGCAGGCAGGAACCAGCAAAGGACAAGGCACACCTTCTTCCTGCCATTACATCACATCCTGGCTCCACCCCTGTGTGGGTGGAGCACTGACACCATCAATCCAAGCACTAGACAATGAGCCATCACAAATGAACAATGCAAACTCATGAGGCCTGGGGGACACAACATAAACCATGACAGCCTCTTACAATAAATACCTACCCTTAAAGACAAAAACAGGCTCAGGGAACTGCTGGTATTTTTTCCATTGAAAGCAATCTTTTCACATTTCCTGATTCAAAATACCTCAAAATTTACCAACATTTCCAAAAGTATCGGACTCATCAGTTATCCATAAATTTAAGTCACGTTGATACTCTGACAGTACTGTCTTTATGTATGGCCTTCCTATCAACAGGGCACAAGTCCGCAGGCAGAGAAAAGCTTTGTGCTCATATCAACTGTTTTATTTTCTTAAGTGGATCTTTTTAAAGCAAAGAAAAATCATCTGACCTATGAGAACTCATTTTCCAAATTTACTGACATCCTAAATTTCCTTCAGTGTTAGGCTTTTAAATAAACAGTTCTTCTTATTTATTAAGGATAGGTGGTACTTAGGAATTCACAGTGTACATTTTTCTCTTTATTTTTAGTGGTTATCCAGAGTTTACGATTTACATTTACATCCCCTCTAAGTCCATATTTCAGCCATACTATATCATTTAATAGGTAGTGCAAACTTCTAAATTAGCAAGAGTAATTTATCCAACTTGTGTTACTGCTGTTACTCATTTTATTTCCACATAAACATAGAGAGGTAATTAAACACGTCATCGTGATTATTAATCTGAACAGTGAAATCAATTAAGAGTATGAAATGCACCTTCTCTACTCCTCTTTACTTCTTTATATAAGTCCTGGTTTCTTATCTACATTTTTCATTCAAGAAACGAGAAAGTAAGGAGGGAGAGACAGGAATGTAAAAAGAATTAAGATGTCTTATGTGCATGTGTGTGTCCCCACAATACATGTAATAGTTACATAATGCAAACACATACTAATCAAGAATTTCTAAAAAGAAATACTTTAAAATGAATGATAATAACTAGAAACCTTCTGAAATTTAAGAAGTTTTCTACTCTGACATTTTCTAGTTCACAGTCAGATATATGTAGAGCATAATTTGAAGACCTTTGGAGAACTAAATGGATGCTGTTCTCCTAAAAATGTACAGTAAATTAAAATATCCCTGAAAAGACATTTTTAATAATACTATTGGAGGGAAATCTAAATTAGATAAATTTTTCTACATAGAATTATGCATGAAAACTAGGCAGAAAAGAAAGACATAGACAGAAAGAAAAAGAAAAATAAAGAGTAAAGGAAAGAAAAATTTAGGTGAATTAGTGATTGAGTATAGACAATATGCTATGATAGAATGTAAATCATGAATGTATTTTAATTTTTTCAATGTTTATTTAAGGTTTCATAACCTGTATTATGACACAGTTGACGTAAAATTATCTCTCTATACTTAAATACACAGCTTAGTAAGGATTTTTCTCCCTGTCCACATCCATAGAAAATTACATGTACGTGTATACACGTGACATAAAGCCATCATCATTTACATATGTGCAAATATATATATATATATATATATATATATATATATATATATATTCAGCATCCTCAACATTTTTCCTTCACCTGTTCCAGGTAAATAACTATTTGCCTCAGTGAGTCCATGCTTTTTAGTGAGATATATGCACTCTAGAGATTTTTCATTCAAAAGTTATCACACCTGATGTTTGATTTACTACAGGAGTAAACCCATGCAGATATTTCAAGATATGTTTAAAAATCAGTTAAAAATAAGTTCTCAAGCTGATTGTTGAAGAATTCTCCAAACTTAGACATAATTTGTTTGAATTAAAAATGAGCAAGTTGTGTGTAGCAGTGGAGTGGAATAATGAGAGGCCGCTATGTTGAGTGTGCAGGTTTCACACAATCACTGTACAGGCCACATAAATATTAAATAAATGAAGGGCTTATTGCGTAGTGGTGCTCTCCAGGGACTGGGGACTGTGACTGAAAGATAGATGTGGAGGCTGCAGTATATGCAGAACTCAGAAACAACCAGTCTTTTATAAAGCTACAATAATAAAAGATAATTGGGGACCCATTAGACTGGGCATATCACAGCATGTACATGGGTCGGTAACAGATTTTACACTGTGCTTAGTTTTATTAAGTCAGACAAACAGCAAATAACCTTAAAGAAGACAAGGAATGGATTATGGTGGGGAAATACTTGTCTAGCCTAGAGCCAGTCAAAGCTAACGATTACAGGTATAGAGTTGATTTGAGTCATGTGATTTTTGGAGTTGGTAGATGAAGAGTGAGCACCAGTCACTGCTGGAAGTTAGTGTTTTCACTGATCTAAGGACTATGGAATGAGCACATGAAGAAAATGGAGAAAGTGATGGAGATGGCCTTAGGAGAATGCATGATCATGTCATCCTCTGTTTCTTTTTTTAGTCTGTGTCTTAGTTATACCTTTGAGATAATCTAGAGAGAAATAGCCTTAAAGGGAACATGATAATAAAGAAATAATGTCAGCAGAATCCCAACCAGTGAAAAACATTTTTGCAGACTAAAAATTACACACATCAATCCATATAGTAGAATATTCAAAGACTTGGGTCTCATGATGTGTATAAAAGATGTCCTCCATAGTACTTTGTTCACAGGAATATTCTTCTCTCTAACATCTTCTTCAGAGCAACATTGACATCTTTATTCCTCAGGCTATAGATAAGGGGGTTCAGCATGGGGACAACAATAGTATAAAACACTGAGGACACTTTCCCCTGGTCCATGGAACTGACTGATGATGGATTCAGATACATAAATGCAGCAGAACCGAAGAACACAGCAATGGCTGAGAGGTGGGAGCTGCAGGTGCTGAAGGCTTTGGACCTGCCCGCAGTGGAGCGAATGCGGAGGATGCAGGCTATGATGAAGATGTAGGAACTGAGAATGGTCAGACTGGGGACAAGGATATTAATTCCACTAAAGACTAGTATCAATAACTCATTGATGTAAATACTGGAACAAGAGAGCTTTAGGATAGAAATAAGATCACAGAAATAGTGGTTGATCACATTCAGCTTGCAGAAATAAACCCTAACCAGGCAGCCTGTGTGAACTGATGCACAAACCACACCTATTGCATACACTGCTGAAATCAGAGAAATGCAAGCCTGCTGACACATGGTGACACTGTAAAGCAAGGGGCTACAGATGGCAACATAGCGGTCATAGGCCATTGCAGCCAACATGTGACACTCTGAGATAGCAAAAACCAAGAAGAAGTAGAGTTGTGTCATGCACTCGGGGTAGGAGATGATGTTCTTCTTTGTCACAAAGCTGATCAGCATTCTGGGGGTGATGACAGTGGAATGGCAGAGGTCAATGAAGGACAGACTGCTGAGGAGGTAGTACATGGGGGTATGCAGGTGAGGACTGAGCCCGATCAGGATGATCATGCCCAGGTTCCCCACCACTGTGAACACGTAGATTCCCAGGAAGAGGAGGAAGAGGGGCAGCTGGAGCTCTGGCTGCTCTGAGATCCCAGTCAGGATGAATTCATTGGCTCTGGAATGGTTTCTGGATTCCATGTCTTCTGCAAAGTTTCTGAAGAGGAGAAAGAAGAGAAAGATTGGTTTTTGAGGTACTCCATCAATTTTTCCATTTATATAAATGTTCTCCCTATTTCTAGTTAAGTATTTCATTGGTCTCAGATTATTTAACATAGCTGATTTACATGAATAACTTTTTCTTAGTTTAATATTTATTAAGCGTTATTTCTCCATTAGCAATTTTTTTCAGCACTGAGCTTGAAGTCAACCTCTTTTCATGGAACTGCACCTCCAAATTCCTTTCTTTGCTTTTCAGCATTTATCTTTTTTTTTTTTTTTTTTTTTTTTTTTTTTGGCCCTGAGGATGCGCATGCCACTCAGGTGCTTTTGCTGTTGGGCTAAATCCCTAGCCTCAATTCCTTTCTTTCTTAAGATGGGGTCTCTCTATGTTGCATAGATGGGCCTCAAACTGGCAGCACTCTTGCCTCAGCTGGGACTGCAGGTGTCTGCTGGGACACACAAGCTGTCATAGCAATGTTCATAATCACTGAGTTATTTGCAATGTCTATACCTTATTCGGTGCTCTTTTGGAGTACCTCTCTCTTACACTGCTTTCTGACCAATGTTTCTAATTCAAAACTTGCAAACTCACATATCCAGGGAAGCCAAGGTCAAATAGTAAACCTGACTTGAACCACAACCTAAGGGAAAGCAAGCCCTTTCTATGGGCATTAACCTTTAATAAACTGAACTTAATTTCTTGCAGGGATGAATGAAGATACTATCTTCAGACATTTCAATACATCACAAAATCTAAGTCCATAACATGCGCAGGTTTTCAAATATTATTACAGTGCAATGACATCTCTAAGCGCCTTTAAACATTCCACTGGGTAGACTGATTCTCAATTGTTCCAGCTTGTGGTCTCCAGATCAATGTTTGAGAGGACTGGGATCAGCAGAGGTTACACACCCAGGCCTTAAGTGCCTGTGTTCGTACTCAGACCCTCCCTTGTAACAACTGACACCCTGGGACTGGTAAACTAGTGTTTATTTAACTTTATAACTCTATGTGAGAAGTGAAAGTAAAACCTAATTCACAATAAAATTTGCAGAGACTCAATAATGAGATAATGACCTATGTGGTTGTTGTATTTTGATCAATTAACATTCTATCAGTTGGAAAGCAAGGGACAGAGACTGGTTCAAAATACACTAATGAACATCCCAATTATTCATCTGGATCATTTATCTGTTATAAAACGAGGCAGTGCAAAGCAAAACACATACACTGGGGAAACAGAGTATTTTACGTCTTATCACCTAGTGTTTTAAACTGTGAAAGATAATTTAATCACGGCATACATAAGTGAAATCACAAATGGATTAGAGTTGAATTATTAAAAATGAGAAATATAAAGCAAATCTAAAAAGCTATACCTTCCTTGTATGGGAAAATAAACCTAAATACAAAGACATAAGCAAAGAGTCTGGAAGAAAATACTAAAGAAAAATCTTTGACATGTTGGAGAAGTTTAAGATTTCTTAAAATGGACATTTTCACCAGTGTAAAATACTAATAAAAACAAACCAAAAGAAAAAACTTAACTCTAAATATAGGGAATTCATATTTGAATACAATTAAGAACTGTTTTTCAAAAGGCATCAAGGAAATGCAGCTCAAAACAAGCTGGGCATGGTGATGCACTCACATAATCCTAACACTTCAAAAGCTCAAGCAGTACAATCATTGCAAATTTGAGCTCAGCTTGGACTACAAAGTGAGCTCAAGACCAGTTTGTACTGTGTAGTGAGACTCTGTCTCAAAAAAGACCAAAAAACACAAGTGCAAACCAAATGCACAAAGGACATTCTTCAAAATATAAAATAGATTCATAAATGATAGTAAAATGATGAAAAATTTTAATAAGCAAAATATGGGAAATATTAATTTGCTTTAAAAACAGTCAAAATCTGTGAGAAATAGTCAAAAAATATATGTCATATTCAACAGTAAAGAAAACATGATACTTCTGTGCACTTACACAGAAATGGGTTTTTAGAAAAACACAATTTCTCAAGATGAATTGAGAAAAATTTGAAAGCTGATTAATAAATGTAAAATAAAGTTTTGAAAGCATTTTATAAGTTACTAAAATATATACAATAAACACAGATTCCTTTGTTTAATATAGATCTCTAAATCCCACACCACACTTTTCTTTTATTTTTGAAAGCATTTCGTAAATTACTAAAATATTTACAACAAACACAGATTCCTTTTTTTAATGTATGTCTCTAAATCCTACATCACAGTTTATGAGTGACAATCTCTTATGGTAGGGCTTAGAAATTTGATCGTTAAAAACATTGAGATAGAACAAGAAATTACCCCCAATACCATTAATGCAGTTCTTGCGATCAGCTAGACGTGAAAGTGACTGGATTAAGAAAGTAAAATCTGTCTAGTGCAATGGTGGTGAAACTATGGCATTCACTGCCGTTTCTGGCTGTTCATTATCAATGAGAACTGAAAGGTTCACCATCACTTTCTAGTGGGGGCTTGAAGGGAAGCTTTTCTCTCTTCTACTTTTTCCACCTTCTCCTCTCCCCTCCCCTACTCTTGCTCTATATGTTTCTCTCAAAGCAAATATTTATAAGAGAAAAAGAGATAAGACACTAACCTCAGACCTACAGATATCAAAGATAAAATGAAACCTACTCTGTTGTACTAGAACTCATAATTCTTTCCTGTATCAGCATTTTAGTTTCCCTTAACATGCATGATCACCAAATTCACACATGGAATAAAACTGGAAGTAATAGGCAGTACAATCGATAGCTGAGTTGTTTATTAATTCATGGCAATTAACTCGTGCTAAGAAATAGAGAAATATTTTATTATCATTCACTAAAATGATGTGTAATATGGCAGTAAAACTGGGATGAAGTCAGATAGGTGTAAAACATTGTAGTATTTCCCCTGATTCAAAGCTGTGAGGATAAATATATTTGTGTATAGCCTTTACAAATATAATTTCTATTATTTAGTCATTCTAAAACCCTAGAATTAATACAAGTTGTGAAAAATGCCTTTGGTAGTGAACCAAGTCATGGTCCTCTATACTCACAAGAACAGATGGAGAACACAGGACTTCTTTTCTGTTACACTTAATCATGCTATTAAACATGGACGGCTAAAGTCAGTAAAGGGTACACTAGGTAACACCCAGGAATAAGGTAGTGTACTGAACACCATGATTAGTAAAGACTTTGTATCACACACTCTGACTTACACTTGATTATCTGAGTTACAGTGCAGGAGAGAGTTGGTGTCGTTGGAAAGAGATCTGTGGAGTTAAAATTTATGAATGTGTGTGTGTGTGTGTGTGTGTGTGTGTGTGAGAGAGAGAGAGAGAGAGAGAGAGAGAGAGAGAGAGAGAGAGACTTACCTTGAGTTAGCTGTTGCTCATTCCCTTGGAATGAGACACTCCCTGTACTCAATGCTACTCTCTAGTTTCTGCCTCTTCATTCTGAAAGCACTAGGAGAATAAAAAATTGTTCACAGACAATGAAAATAGTTAAAACAGAATTTACTAAGAAAAACAGGTGATTTCTTACTGTTTTTTTTTTGTAGTTCTGTATTAAGTGTACCCTTACACCGCTTTGTTTTGTTTTGTGTTTTTCTCTTTTTCCTTTTAAACAAAATTTTAAAAAAAAAGAAAAACAAGTATCAACTTCTAATCTTAGTTAAAAAATAGATTTTTCATATGCAAATATCTGACTCAATATTGTTAATATGAAACAAATGCATAATTCCTCATCAACTTAATGATGTTCCTAGAGCTCTTGATGGAAAATTAAGCAATAGGAGATTAACATTCCCAATGTAAAGATACACTGGTTAGACTATGATGAATCACAATGCAGATAAGATGTGTAACAGTCCAACCAAAGTGTCATAAATCAGAATAGATAATTACCAACTATTATGTCTTCAAGAGGTCAGGAAACACTGCTCTACACCTGAGGTGTTACATCTGGAGCCTCATACTCAGTCGTAGGTGCGCATTTTAGAGAGGGACATTGACAAAGCCCAAGGCAGGCCTAAGCAGTAATACCAAGGGAGATATTTGAAGATAACTGACAGGCACTTTTATAAACCCTAATAGAACAAACGGGAAAGTTTTATCTTGTATATGTTGTTTGAAGTAATTAATGATACATCCTTTAATTAGTATAAAAGCTATGTTGACATTAGAGTCCTTTGAAATGAATGAGCTACTTACTTCTGGACATAAGGTTTAATCTCCCTACAGAAGATGATGGTCCATCTTCAGAGACACTGTAAAATATTCTGTGACTGCTTTAAAGATAAAACCCACACATTATAGCATCTCTTGTCTCTCTTTGTCTGTTTAGTTCCGATTTTCACTCTTGGTTACAGGAATATTTCAGTTCCTAGATTATGTCACACTCACTCAGCTGTGCATCCTTTTATTCTCTATTTCCTCTATATGAAATAATATTAACAAAACTTTTTCCCATGCTTGACAAATATTTAATTCTTTACAAATCTCAGTTAGAATTGAAACCATTACCTAAATACTTTCCAACTTAGTGTAACTGACATTTCTAAAAAGTGCTTTTCAAAAATGTGAAACATTTTATAATTCCAGTGATGGATCAATCTATTCTTTGAAGTCTCAGTAACTGACAAAGCAGCTCTCACATTGTCAGACATTTAAACAGAACATTTGTGAATGACTGAAAAAATTACTGAAAACTATTTTCCTGAATCTTTTCAACAATTAACAACCGACCTCCTAATTTCACAAGTATGAGATGAAAATACTCACAGTGCTTCAGCCTGAGCACCTGAGTGCCAGATTTGACTTTCCACTTTGCAAGTGACTCTGAGTTGTGAGTCACAGGTCCTAAGCATTTGACTATCTCAAATGCTGAGAGGGTGGGGCTCTTCTCAGTCTGTTGCTTTTGAACTTGGTCAGCATCACTGTTCAGGAGTTCCAATGCTTACTTT